TTCCTTTTATTGACAATAGAGTCCTTTCTCACACACTATGTCCCGATTACAATTTTCCCTCCCTCTACTCCCAGTTCCTTCCCCCCTCCCCTCCCATCCAGATTCTCTCCATTTTTGTCTTTCATTGGAAAAGAACAGGCGTCTAAGAGATAACCGCAAAACATAACAAAATATAATAAAATAAAACAAAACTCCAAACCCTGTCAAATTGAAAGTTGGACAAGGCAAATGAACAGAAGGAAAAGAGCCAAAAAGAAGGCGCAAGAATCAGAGACCCACTCATTTACACACTCAGGAGTCCCATGAATATTCTAAGCCGGGAACCATAATAGATATGCAGAGGACCCGATGGATTCAGACATGTGTTGCCTCTGAGCTTGCTGCTTCTGTCTCTGAGTTCATACGAGCTTTGCTCAGTTGGTTTAGAGGGCCTTGTTCTCCTGTTGTCCTCTATCCCCTCTGACTCTTACATTCTTTCCTCCTTCTTTCACAGGGGTTCCCTCAGCTCTGAGGGGAGGAATTTGATGGAGAGGTTGAAATCCATTTTTTAAAATAGGAGTCTGCTTTTGAAACCTGGCTTGGGCTGCTCTCTAGTGGCCAGTCCCTTGTCATTGCATTTCTCCTTCAAGGAGAAAAGGAGAGCTGGTTCTGTTGGGAACTAACTAGTTCTGTCTGGGACCGGTTAAACGAACCTTGTGAACCTCTTTGAATCCTTCAGCTCCAGTTCCTGCAGTGAAGCGTGGTGCAGGCCGTGTGCCGTGTGTCTAGAAAAAGGCGTTCCTCCGGTAAGCAGGCTTTGTGGAACAGATAGGAAGGTCTCAGCACATCCTCTTCCCACAAAGCCAACATAAAGCTAGGAGGAACTGCCCAGATAGCACTTTAAAGGGTCTAAAAATCTGAGCGAAAGCATGTGACACATTGCAGAGTATTTATTATTAATTAAAAAATGTTTTATGTGTATGGTTGTTTTGTCTGTTTGTATGTCACCATGTTCGTACCTGATGCTTGAGGAGGTCAGAAGAGGGCACTGCATGTCCTGGAATTGGAGTTATGGATAGTTGTGATTCTCTGTGTGGGTTCTAGGAACAACCTGGGTCCTCTGTAAGAACGAAGTGCTCTTTTTTTTTTTAAAAAAGAAAAATAATTTAGTTTTATTTTATGTGCATTAGTGTAAAGATGTCAGAGATCTCTGAAATTATAGACAGTAATGAGCTGCCATGTGGGTGCTGGGAATCGAATCCGGATCCTTTGGGAAGAGCAGACAGTGTTCTTAACCTCTGAGCCATCTCTCCAGCCTGAATGAAATGCTCTTAACTACTGAGCCATCTCTTTAGCCCCGTGAACAAATTTTTTAAAATTTGTTTTTATTTTTTATGTATATGATTGTTTGCATGTATGTCTATACGTCATGTGTGTGCCATAAAGCAGTAAGTGCTTTATGCTCAGGGATGCCAGAAGAGGGTACTGGAGTTATAGACAGTTGTAGGCCACTATGTGGATGTTGGGAACTGAACCTTTGAAAGAGCAGTAAGTGCTCTTAACTGCTAAGCCATCTCTCCAGCTCTCACATCGAGAAATATTAAAGTTCAAGATGGATTCCACTGAAAGAACAGTGGAAGGCTGTTGTGCTTCAGAGCACCCTTGGTGGATGGGACTCTCTTGGAGGGTCTGTTTACCATGGCTGCAGAGAGGCTGATTATCTGCAGCACAGGGTGGATGATTCCATTCCCAGTGATGTCACTGAAGGCAGCAGTTATTTCCGTGGCACAGAAGCATGGCCAGAAGTTGCAATACTGACTAGCATAAGCAATAGCCCAACCAACCAGCCAGAGATGTATAATGTGAGAGCTGAAGAGGATCTTGGGAAGGCCACACATCTCATCAGCTGCACCGGAAGGTGTGCGCAAGGCTGGCACACACATTCGGGAGGGACCCAGGGGCCCTGATGAGTCTGTTACTGCTGAGTGAACAGTGGGACTTGTAAGCACAGAGAGCAGAAATCGACACAGACGTAAGCACTTCTGGAACTTTGAGGGAATCCTCCAAGTCATGCAGAAATCCATCCATAAAAGACAAAGCTTTACTTGCTTAAGGTATGGCTGATCCTCAGTCATGGGTGGGCCATGCTGATCCTGGAAGTCAGGCTGTAGAAGCAAGCGGTAGGGGAGAAGAAACCTTAATCAGATACATAAATGGTTTGTGTGGGCCATTAAACAATAACAACCCTACTTGGGGAGGAGAATCAGAATCCAGAAAAGGGAAAATGGATGCAACAGAAAATCATTATGAAAAGTGAAGTAAACCAGATTTAGAAAGATGAACAATGGAACACATGTTTTCTCTCATGCATGTGTAAAGCTTAGATTTAGAAGTGTGTGTGTGTGTGTGTGTGTGTGTGTGAGAGAGAGAGAGAGAGAGAGAGAGGTGGGGACAGGACAGGAAGAGATCTTAAGAAGAGATGAAGGCAATGAAACACATATACAGGAAAGTGGAAGCAGGTGAAGCCTGGCAGGGGCAGGAGAGGGCACTGGGCAAAGGGAAGAAAGGAGAAAAGATGTATGAAGAAGTGTCAGATCCCCTGGAATTGGAATTGCTGTTGGAGCTGCCCGATGTGGGCACTGGGAATCAAAGCCAGGTCCTCAGCAAGAGCAGTGAGCACTTTTACTGCCGAGCCACTGCTCCAGCCCCTCTGTCTGTAAATTCTTGCTCTGGCAAATAAATGGCGGAGAAACATGTACATTTATTTGGGGGAGGAGCAATGGCAGTACAGAATGGATGGGAGTGTGGGATAGCTCACGCCTCTCTTGGCTCTTGACCTCCAAGGCTGGGCAGCAGTGAGCAGAGCTGTTCCCAGCATCACTCCCTGATACACTCAGAGGATAGGGCGGCTGTCCCGGAGAAAGAGCTTAGATTAGAAATCTTAGGTTAAAGAGTTGATTGCTGGAATAGGAAAAAAATTAAGGAACTTTGGTGATTGCAGGGAATCAGTTCTTGGGGAAGCTTAGAGCTTTGACACATGTGTGTCATGTGAGTACATTTGGCTCTCATGGAACCACAGGTATTTGTATAATCTCAGCAGGTTGCTTACATGTGCACACGCAGGAGCATTTACGCTGCCCCCCTCTCCTTTACCTCTCCCTCCCTCCCTCCCTCTCTCATGCTCATGTTCAGTAACCTGCCCGATTGTGTCATGCCTTCACATCATGTTCCCTCAGACACAGTGAACATTCTTAACATTGCTCTGCCTCTGCCGCCATGAATGTCTCAGTCCAAGCTGCATCCCCACCGACCAGCACAGCAATGGTTGGCATGGATGAAGTGCCCGACACATATTTTATTATTAGTTTCTTTTTGGCATTTTGAGGTAGGGTCTCTCTAGGTATTCCCGCTTGTCCTGGGACTTACCGTGTCAGCGCCTCATGTCGTGTTGAGTCCCAACCATAAAATACTGTTTGTTGCTACTTCATCACTTTAATTTTGATACTGTTATGAATCATAATGTAAATATTTGATATTCGGATGGTCTTGGAGGGACCCCCCCATTTGACCTCAAGGGGGTGGAGACCCAAAGGTTGAGAATCGTACTATGCAGTCCAGGCTGGCTGCCCTTGAACTCATAGGGACCCATCAGTCTCTGCCTCCCAAATGCTGGGATTAAAGACATGCATCACCGTGTCCAGCTTGTATTATTTAAAAATGAAGTTTATTCAGTGTGTCCTCATGTGGTGTGTATGTGTGCTTGTGTGCTTGTGTACATGTGTGTATGTATGCCACAGTGCATATGTGAAGGTTAGAGGACAACCTTGTGGGAGTCTGTTCTGGCCTTTCACCATACGAGTCCTGGGGATTGAGCTCAAGCTTTGGTGGGAAGTGCCTTTACCCACTGAGCCATCCCACCAGCCAACAGTAAATATTTTTTAATGACGTGAATGCACTTCATATTTGTAAGGTTGTACTTGCTCTTCAGAGGTGTTCGTTCTCATTCTCTTCTGCAAACACGCACAGATGCACAGACATTTTCTTTCTCGTGCGCATACCATCTCTTACACACTCACAAACACGTACTTCTACACTCATAATTCACAACCCCACCTGGCCCCCACTCCTATACTTTCACATGCTTCATGTCCTCACAATTCACACCTATACATACTCATATACATCTTCATCCCCTGTACTCACACACTCACAACTCCCACACGTTCACCATCATCCCTATTCACACACATACAGACTGACACCCAGACACAGTTGCACATGTACGTAATCACACACAAATACACACAGAGACACTCACAGACCTTGTTAGGTGAACATTCTCTTTCCTCGTGGCCTCTTTGAGAGACAGTGAATCAATATTCTGAGTCCAGCCAGGAGTCTGAACCCACACAGTAGGCTGAAATGCAGGAGGGTTAGGATCTCTGAAACTGTGATAGAAGTCTTGTCTGTAAAGTGTGGGGGCTGTAGGGCCTCCCAGGGCTGAGGGAGAGTCCCTAGAGAGGGACACGCTTGGGAGAGGTTCAGCCCTTGTTAGAGGAAGGGCCTCTGGTCGGACTGCAAAGAGGCTGGTGCTGAGGCTGGCGCTGAGGATTCTGGGTGAAGGCAGAGGTCCACACACCTAGTTAGCGACCGGTACCCTGCTTGTCTCCCTGAGACTGCACGAGGCTCTTTCCTCTTGCACTGCTTTTCCAGCACCCACTGCTTTGAGAGCTTGATTCGCTCACTCCCAAGGAGAAGTGCTAGAAGGAGTTCAGGCACTTGCTGCAGGGAATGCGTTGGTGCATTCAGAGCTGAGAGTCAGAACACTGACCACTAACACACACAGCTCCAATGCTGTGACGCGGGCATCCTGTGGTTTTCTGGTGAAGAGAGGTCAAGTTGGATTTTTTTTTTCCAAGTGATGGGCCACAGCAAGGGGGTCTATGTGTAGGCCAAGCTGTGGCTCTGCTCTTGCTTGGACGTGTGTGGCTTATCTCTTTCTTGCTCTCTTCCCATCACAGGGTGAATCAGTACCCAGACCTGGAGACCTGATTGAGATTTTCCGAGTTGGCTATGAACACTGGGCCATCTACGTGGAAAATGATTGTGTGGTTCACCTGGCTCCCCCGAGTAAGAGTGGATACACTGTTGAGATACTGATATAGAAGTTAGCAGAGTGGGCAGGAGGGACAGTCAACCACTGTGGTCCTCAGCCACTGCCCTTCAGCAAGAAAGCAGCCCTGCACTTTTGTTTATTAGTAAGCACCAGGTATCCAGTGCCAAGTATGACAGGAGGCTAGAGTGTCCCTAAAATCCCCTTCGACCTTTGGCTCTGATGCCAGTCATTTAGCATCCTTCACCGTGTTTTTGAAGACACATGGTTCTCAATCTTCCTAATGCTGTGACCCTCATGTTGTGGTGACCGTCCTCCACAACCATAAAATTTATTTTTGTTGCTACTTCATAACTGTAATTTTGTTACTGTTATGAATTGGAATGTAATTGTAATGTGTTTTCTGATGGCCTTAGGTGACCCCTGTGAAAGGGTTGTTTGACCCCCCAAAGAGGTTATAACCCACAGTTTTAAGAATAATGGCCCTAAATGTTCTCCTGGTCCTTATTTCATTTCTTACAGTTTTGATTGGATTCAGGGCCTTTTAAAGTAAAGTGGAGATTTGATGAGGGACCAGATGGTGAAAATAGAGATTACACAGGAATGTGAAACAACTTAAAATTGTATGTGGTCTAGAACCGCTGCTCATCGTGGCCATCTCAGGAGACTGGGCCCGGAGGTGGGGTGGGGTGGGAAGGTGGCAGAGGGATGATCTGATGCCTTTTGAAGTTTGTGTCCTGTGCAGCTCTTGCTGGCTCAAAGTGGAATCACGGAAGGACATTGCCAAGGTCTTTGATTTGCAGCTTTGATTCCTGTGGGTTTTCCCTTGGGCTCTATCTCCCATCTTGCTAAGACCTTTCTGCAGAGGAAGGTTCCTTTCTTTCCCCTTTCTTCTCTTCTCAGTATCCATTTTCCATTTAGGAGCCTAATCAAAGTGAGGGGAGGTTCTAGGAGGAGCCGAGGAAGGAGAAAGAATATGACCAAAATATATCATATGAAATCTTCAAAGGATAAGTAAAAACATTAAACCATCGTCTATGAAAAAAACCCATCTCCATCTCATTTCTGCAGCTTGTGTCCAGAAATGCCCCATTTGTATAAGTGAAGAGATGGTTAGCAGTGATCCCCTTCCCTACCAGCTCATCTCTAAAAGAAACACCTGCCACCTCTCTGCTTGTTCATGATAATAGTGGTTCAATAATGCACTCCCCTTTTGTGGCCACTGCAGGGGCAAAGTACGGCTGCTAGCGGGGTAAATTAATTTTTGTGAAACCAGTAGATTTTCTTTGGAACACATAAGAATAAAATAAGGGATTTTTTTCCCCGTCTTGGGCAGCTTGGAAAGAGACATACATACTACGTACAGTCATGCAGGTGGCTCCAGCATCGAGAAATAATAAAAAGTTCTGTCCTTAACCAGTATCACAGTGGTAGATATTTGTGGGATGCGGTGCAAATCAGCTTTGCAATGTGTAATGGCCACGTACAGGTCCTCAGCCTAGCCATGTCCTTTAATATCGTTTTCTTTTCTTTGTGTGTGTACATTTATGCCATGGTCTCCGGGTGTATGTGTGTTTTCAGGCATTCACATATACATCAGGTGTCTTTCTTGATCACTCTTTCTCTGAACCTTACAGCTCCCCAATCCTGGCCACTCTAGATAGCTGTCTAACCCTGGGGATCCTCATTTCCTGAGGATCCTCATCTTTTCCTCTCAGGTATTGGGATCACAGGTAGCTGCCTCTCTTGCTTGGATTTTTCATGGTTTCTGAGGATCTAAACTTTATTTTTTGACCTCCCCCCCCCTTTTTTTTTATTTGGTTTCTTTAGGTAGCCCTGGCTGTCCTAGAACTCTGGATTCACTCTGTAAGCCAGGCTGGTCTTGAACTCAGAGATCCACCTGCCCCTGCCTCCCGAGTGCTGGGGACCTTTATCTTCATGCTTGTGGGGCAAATGCTCTACCTACTGAGCCTCCCTCCAGCCCTTTCATCTCTTTTTGATGAGAATATTGAAAATCATCTCTTGCAGCTAGTTTTTTTTAGTGGCCACCCATGTGGCCTCAGACAGGTTCCCTCTTGGAGTTTTCATGTCTTCTAAACACTGAGTGTGAGAGAAGGCAGCGGCTTTCAAATGTTTTTTTTTCCTGAAGCTGCAGAGCCCCTCCCTGGTGGTAAACCTCAATGAAAAGCCCTATATTTGAATAGTAATGAGCACCAAGCGGCTCTAAGTGGATGCTGGTAGAAATGGCCACCAGAGTTCCAAATACCAGCTCTACTATACCCTTGTAAGTGGCTGAGAGAAAGGCATGCTATGGAACCACTTTATTATGTACACGACAGAGCCTTACGGGGTGACACACAGAGGTTGGAGATTAGTGACATCTGTTTAGGAAACAAGACTCAACTTCTAAGACAGGGTCAGACCGATGCAATCTAGTCCAGGGCCACTTGATGTTTCCAAAGTTACTGGTAATAGATTCTGCTGGAGGTGAACAGAGCATGTACCTTAGGACGAAAGATTGCTCGGGAGGGGGTCCTGCCTCAGTTGCTAAGGTGCCTCCCACACAAACATGAGGTTCTGAGTTTAGATCCCCAGCAGTCATGCAAAAATCTGTGTATGGTAGAGACAGGGGATTCCCAGAGCCCACTGTCCAGCCTGTCTAGCCAACAAGTGACCTGTTGACTCAGCGAGAGACCAGGTCTCAGAAAGTGCAATGGAAGTGGTTGAGGAGGATTATTGAGATTGACCTCTGACCTCTACACTGCACGCACACCCACATGCATGTGCACACCCATCCACCCATGTGTGTCCCTCCTACCTCCACCCCAAGAACAGTATTTTTCTGGAAAGTTGGTCCTCCATCCTCCATCTGCTATAACTCCCTCTCCTCTGCCAAGTTCTAAGACTCTCACGGGAGGTGGCTTTATGAAGGTCTGCGGCAGGGCCAGCGATTCTGGCCCCCTCAGCCCCTGAGGCATTCTGACTTTTGGCTCTTGCTCCCCAGGCGAGGAGTTCGAGGTGGGCAGCATCACCTCTGTCTTCAGCAACCAGGCCATAGTGAAGTACAGCCGGCTGGAGGATGTGCTGCATGGCTGCCCTTGGAAGGTCAACAACAAGCTGGACGAGACATACCTGCCCCTGCCGGTGGACAAGATCATCCAGCGCACAAAAAACATGATCAACAAGATAGTGCAGTACAGCCTGATTGAGGGGAACTGCGAGCACTTTGTCAATGACCTCAGATACGGCGTGCCCAGGAGCCAGCAGGTGTGTTCCCACGCGCCCTCAGCGTCTCCTCACCGTGCTTTGCTGAGCTTTGTCGGGCTGTCTTTGGTCAGCTTGGCAGATGCCGATTTCCTGATCCTGTTTGTTGTGCTGTGCTAATGTGAAGGAGTCTTACACCATTAGGAGCACCACCCACTGGAATCTCAGCAGCTCCTTCAGTTGCTTTATTTTGAAACTTTTCCTCCCTTTCCTTACAAATGGGGTATAGTTCAAAGTATAGATCACTTAGCTTTCAGAACTGAGAACCAGTTGCCTGTGTGCTACATCTGGGGTATGTATTATTATCTTAAAATTTAAGTTACTATGAGACTTTTCTAAACTTGGAGACTGTAGAAAATTTATGTAGAAATATCTAGGTTTTTGGTCTTTCTTTAAGCCATTGATCAGGTCACCGAGCTGGCATTCCTGTCCTGATCCTCTGCTGGGCCAACTGGTGGCTCTGTGCTGTGTGTTGCACATGGAAGTGCCATCTTTCAGCTTTTGTCACATCAGCTGCCTGGCTCACACTGTGTGCTGGGCATAGATATGCCAACTCCCAGCTCTGGTCATATTACCTGCCTGGCTCACCCTGTGTCCGGCTTTGTAACCCTCCTCCTCCCCGAGGCGGCCCAGTGACAAAAATACAACACATTTGTAAAATAGCCTGTATTTGGCCCTGTAATCCCCCTCCTGTCCCAGGCAGCCCAGTGATAAACATAAAACATATAGTCTTATAAAAAACTTCATTAGCAGAAGACATGCAACTCTTTTAAACATATATATATTTAAAAACATATATATATACATATATGTATATGTATATATATGTATATACATATATACATATATACATATATACATATATATGAATGTATATATATATATATGTATATATATATATGTATATATATAGCCCTAAAGGTTAAAGGTGAGACATCATTTTCTGTTTTTTTTTTTTTTCTTCTCCTGTGATTTTTATCTTTTCTGCAGAGTTGGGTCAAATCTCTCTATTATTCACCTCTCAGCAGCACCCATCTCTCCCTCCCCCACCCTGCATTTCCTCTGTCCACTTTCTTTTCCTCCTCCTCTGTGTCCTCTGTTTGCCTGTGCTTTGGTCTTGTGAGACTTTGTAGCTTGGTGGGCTCCAGTATGAAGGAGCTCCCACCCCATGAGCATTTGCATGTGAATAAACACCCCATACTAGAGGGCGCGATAAGAGGTCCTCTGAAGACCTATGGGCTCAGAGTCATGAGGTTCGAGCTAAGTGTGAAGGTTGATTCTTGTGTAGTTGTGCCCAAGTGAGTTCTCCTCCCTGGCTCTTGGAATCTCTTTCTGCTCAGTGGCTGCAGATTATCGCATGTACTCCGGAGGCAGGCTCTATGCTGAATGGCTCCCAGGAAAGAAAAAAGGCCAGAGTCTCCATGGCTCGGGGAAAGGGAGCCTGCTCTGCCTTGGGCGCCTGTCTTCAGATGCCCCCTTTGCTGAGACTCTGGAAACTTTAGGGATGTGGGTGATGTAGGAGAGAGCAGATGACTCGTCTCCTGCCTAGGAGCAGACTCCAGGCAGGCTGGGTCCTGAAGGGAAAGTGTGGGGCATGAGCAGGGAAGGGCCAGCCTGTATTTGGTACCCACTATCCCATGTACCACTGTGCTTTGCAGGTGGAGCACGTTCTGGTGGAGGGAGCGAAGGCTGCAGGCGCCGTCATCTCAGCAGTAATGGATGGCATAAAACCCAAGCCCAAGTCTATAACTGCCTGAAGGTGCTGTGAATTCCGAAAGGAGGAGGAGTTGCGGACAGGTGCAGAGCAAAGATGCTCCCTTCTTCCTCCTTGCCTGCCCCGTTGAGAAGATTATGAGTTTCTGGAAAATGGGAATGTGTCTAGTTACTTCCGCTGTAGCTGATGTGGACCTGCACACCCTCAGCACGGGGGAGATGGGAACTGATATCTGCTGGGAATTTTGTATGTGCTGGGCACCGTTGGGGCCCTTTCATGTATTTATTTAATCTTAATCCTTTGCTTGTTTCTTAGGCCAAGTTTATTTTGTGGTGCCGGGAAACCATCAGAAACATTCTGGAAACTTCCTTAGAACATTTCCAGTAATGAAGAACTCTCCCCAGGAACTCTTACTCATGTTGTCAGATGTCTCTACCTTCTTTCATTTATCTGAGTCCTGTTTTTTTCAGACCCACTGCGTCACTGGGGGTAGGGGGTAGAGAGGACACCAAGGAAAGCTGTCACTCACCATTTAGGGTCAGCTGTACCATAATCTGTGTGGAGAGGTGGCTCCGTGGTTAAGTGCACTTGGTGCTCCTGTAGAGGACCTGAGTTTGATTCCCAGTGCCCATGCTGGTGGCTCACAACAGCCTGTAACTCTAGTGTCGTCCTCCGGCCTCTGTGGGCCCTAGCACTCACGTGCTATCCACACACAGACACACATACATATACATGCTTAAAAATTTTAAAATTAAGCAACTTTATATTATACATTATTATCTCTTTAACAACCGTGGCTGCCCTCTTAGCACTACCCTGGACACTCTCTTGTCCTAAAATGCCCTCTGCAAGCAGACCAGTCTATAATCTTCACTCATATTCTCAGCACATAGGCATAATGAAGCCCTGGTCTAGCCACAAAACAGTTCTAAAGGAGGAGGAACTACCCGGTGAGGTTTGTCACAGGAGTGACCAAACCTCTCGGAACTGATTTCCATCTTAGCGTCTGTTCTTATTGCTTTGATAAAATGTTCAGACTAAAGCAGCTCAAAGAAGAAAGGGTTTATTTAGTTCACAGTTCCAGGGCGAGGAAGCCATGTGGTGGGAACTTGAGGGAGCTGGGCACGTTATGCCTGCAGGCAGAATAAAAGAGCAGCGAACAGGTGTACACTTGCTGCTCAGGTCCCTTTTCTTTATCCAGCTCAGGGCGAGCCCATGAAATGGTGCTGTCTCATTCAGGGTGGCTCCCCCCACCTCAGTGAACTCAGGGAACAACATCCATCTATGCTCAGAGGCCCATCCCTTAGGTGATTCTAGATTTTGTCAAGTTGATAGTTGACCCTGATTATCACATGTATCAACTTTGCTTTTTGCTGTTTAAAAATTTTTGATTTAAAGCATAGCCAATGAAACTACTAAAAAATAACTTATGCTTTATAATTGCCAGAAAAATTGAAATTTCCATTCTGATTTCAGACAAATATTTAAAACATATAAGTCAACTGATCCCCACTGTATGAATGATGGAGTAATTTTGGTGGAAGAGCTGAAACTGTTTCCCTGGATTTTACTCTGTGGAGAGCTGAAGTCACTCAAAAAAGCTAGAGATGGTTTCTCCTATGGCTCTGGAACTGCTTGGAAAATATGGAGGCTGTGGAAGGCATGCATCAGCAAGATGGGACCCTCAAAGTGTTCTAGAGATCTTTCTAGGCTGCTTGCTCAGGGGCCTTACTCCTGTTGGGAGGAAACACCCAAATGATGCACTTTGGTTTTTTTCCTCCAACTCTTTCTCATCACCCAAATTTGATGCCTCATTTAGCTTTTTGGAAGACCAAGTCTGGTATATTTTTTTGTTGGAATGTCCTCTGCCCTTGCCCAACAGCCTATGTACTCTGCATGGCCACCCTGAATGCTTGCAGTCAGGCAAGCCCTCATTTCTGCACATCACTGCTAGCAGGAAGCCAGCACGCCCGGAGATCTCCGTCTCCCTGACACCTGGAAGATCAGCTGGGCTTCCAGTAATTCTTCTTTCAGTCTCTTAACTCATGGTATTTTCTGTTTTGAGACTTCCTTCCGGCAGAACCTGAGCAACAGGCCTCTACAAGCACACTCCCTTTAGCTTTTAAAACTGTCATGTTTTAGTGGACTTGTGTATGAAGATTGTATACCCAGAATCCACACAGGGGGAGCCCAGCAGATTCATGGTATTAAGTGTATAGAAAGATGGGCTGGGGAATTGCTCAGTCAGTAAAGTACTTGGCTTGTGCATGAGTTTAACCCCAAGAACTAATGTAAACAACAACAACCACAACCATGAATGTGGTGGTGGTGTGTGAAATCCCAGTGCTGGGAGGATGGAAACAGGAGGATCCCTGAAGCTCACTGCCCAGCTAGTCTAGACTAATTAGTAAAGCTCCTGGTCAGTGAGAGACCCTGCTTCAACAAAGGTGGATGGTTCCTGAGGGTAACACCTGAGATTGTCCTCTGGCCCTCATCCACACATGCACACACGTGTACACAACCCTCGCACATATGGAACACACACATGTATACTCATGCATTGAAAACGAGAAATGTGTGTTAAAAAACCATTGCATTGTTGACCTGTCGATCAGTCGATCAAGTCACACTTGGACTTGTGCTAGGACTTTCTGAATTTCTCAGAAAACCCAGCAAAATAGCTTAATCAATATGAGGAATTTACTGACTTAAGTGACTGTCAAATCCTGAAAGACTGTATCTGGGATTAGGGCATTATGGCATCAGCTTTTTTTTTTTTCTTTTGGCATCAGCTTTAAAAATAACATTTCCTGTTAGTGGTTTTTGTGGATAGGAGGGACCTAGCTGTGTGGTGAGAGCATGGCCAGAACATCTTGAGTTGAGATCTCTGCCTTCTCATTTTTCCGGGCAAGAACAGGCTGTGATGTACCAAGCTGTTATTTTGTCCAGATTAGTACTATGGTTCCTTAGAGAAGCTTTACAGTTACTAAGACCCATTAGTATTTCTCATAAACAGATTTCCCTTCTTTTGTTATTCCATAAGAACTATGTGTGCTGGGATTTATGTGTTCTATCATTCTGTTCTCTTCTAGCATTATGGAGTACCTACCATTGTAGGCCAGGCTCCTTGGGAAACAGACATTGAAACTAAGTTGTGTGGGCAGGAAGTTTACTAGGGGGGAAAGCAAGATTGGCAGAGGGAGAAACTGAATGGTAAGGCAGTCACAGGAAAGACCTGAGTTGTCTACCAGGAGCTCTGGAGCTGGGTGTTGCCATGAAGTGGTAAGAGGACCAGTTCCTCCCACCCTCCATATTAAATTTGTTGATGTAGAATGCCAAGGAAGATGAAGTCACTTTCCCGGAAAAGACTCAGTTGAGAACTCTCAATCATCTAACCTTAGCCTGAATTAACACTGAATTAACCTTTCAGTGTTGTGGGTGTGGGGGTTGGGGTAGGCAGCACACAACACTGTCCACTATGCCTACCATTCCTAGGTGTTTTTAGTTTTGGGGGAATTTATTAAAAATATTTTCACTTGAAGGACACAGTATTGCCTGTCTTCCATTGATGTTATCAGTGTCACCCTATAAGAAAATCTGAAAACAATTTCTTCTTTCAAATGTTTTTTTAAATTTTTTATTTTTTAATATTAGTTACAGTTTATTAATTTTGTATCCCAGCAGTATCCTGCTCCCTCATTCCCTCCCAATCCCACCCTCCCTTCTTCATCTCCTCCTTGCCCCTTTCCAAGTCCACTGATCGGGGAGGACCTCCTGCCCTTTCATCTGACCCTAGTTTATCAGGTATCTTCAGGACTGGCTGCAAAGTCCTTCTCTGTGGTCTAGAAAGGCTGCTCCTTCCTTTGGGGAGGGGGGAGGTAAAAGATCCAGCCATTGAGTTCATGTCAGAGACAGTCCCTGTTCCCCTTACTAGGGTACCCACTTGGATACTGAGCCACTGTGGGCTACATCTGAGCAGAGGTTATATTCTTGCATGGTCCTTGGTGGAGAAACAGTCTCATAAAAGACCCCTGTGCCCAGATATATTTGGTCCTTGTGGAGCTCCTGTCCTCTACAGGTCATACTAACTCCTCCTCCTTATGATTCTCTGCACCCTACCAAAGAGAATTGCTTTTAAAACCAAGTAACTAGTATGTGGAAAAGATAACTTATGGAAAAAAAAAAAACACAACCAAATTTCAGTTCTGCCTGATGTAAGGCAGGCAAATTCAGTTATTTCAGATTTCAAACAAATGTCTAAAAGTATCTTTTACTTGCCAGATGTGATTGTTGTCTTGGAGGCTTACTGCTAAATAAGGTCACCATCTTAGTTCTTTCTGAACTCTGGCTGGCTGATTCAACTCAGCTGTTTTGGCTCAAACTCTTCTCCAAGCTGACTGATTCAATCTGGCTTCTCTCAGCTCCTCACTGACTTGCTCTGTTTGGCCTCAAACTAACTCTGGAAATTTGTTCTAATCTTCTGAATCCTTCTTATTCTCTGGCTTCAACTGCCTCTATATGAACTCACGAATGAACTCAATTCTATTGTACTCACTCAACTGTACCAAAGTAAACTCCACTCAACTGACTGAATTGATCTGAACTACCACAAACTGAACTGCTGGTTCACTGCCTTTCAAACTGACTCCCCACTGACTGCCCACCAACTGACCTCAACTCAACTGAACTGACTGAACTACCTGTACTGTGTTATACTGTAGTGAACTCAACTCTTCTGTACTGTCTTCTCTGTTGAATTCTCTACTGAACTGACCTCTCTCCCTGCACTGTTCTCTTTAAGTCATCTCTTTTTTTCTGTCTACTATTGTGAGAGTTGGATGTATCTTCTCTTTAACTCATTCTATCAAAATTTTCTCTGAATCATCACTTTGTCTGCCCCTCAATTAGATGTTACTTTTAAACATGGATGCTTTCTTCTACAAAGTAACTTTAGCTTCATTTTTTTTTTTTAGATTAAAGCTGTGTGTACTAAGAGCATGTCTGCATTTCAGCTGGATCATATAGACCTAGAAGGTCTTTGGA